ATCTCATTCGCCATGAAGTTTGCAAATGGCATTCTGTTTTGCCAACCACGCTTTTTTATATGAGACAGTGTACCCATATTGTGACTGTATAACAGAAATCAACACTGCAATAGCTATATGAGAGCTTTGCTCCACAATGGGCATGATTGCTTGAAAAATAATATTGGAGTCCAAGTTGGGATGATCCTGGTTTATACCTGTTGCACAACATGTATGAGGACCGTTGTATCTGGTTAGTTCCCATAAGTTGTTCTTCCTCTTCCTGTTTGATACACGGACCATCCATTGACATCCGTTGTCACGTTGGACGCAGTAGCAGACATATTTCTCCGTGTTAGATTGATCAACTCGGGACTTAACTGAGTTACGAATATTGTAACTCTTTATTGCCATCATTTCTTCCTCATTCGATGTGAACTCCATTCCAATATGTAAATTACCGTCATTGACTAATGATTGAAGTCCATAGTTGCCAACAGCAGGAAGATCTGGAAATTCAGGATCATACATTGCATCATAATCAGCCTCATACATATGTGCAGGAAGTTCGACTGGTGTTGTATTTATCGGAACGTCATCCTCGTCATCATCAGAATGTACGTTAAACTGTGGTGAGTCAGGTTCAACGAATAATCTCGTTTCAGCACCATCTGCACCTGGCTTCCGAAGAGGTTCTTCTGGTGGAGATGAAGGTTCCTCCGATAATCCAATGTTGAGGTCAAATAAGTTCTCGCTTGCGTGTCCTCCCCTTGAACTTGAGGCCATTGTATCATGTGGGATGTGAATAGACTGCCGTCTCGTTGGCATTTCCATATGTAAGTCGAAAACATTTGCAGATGAATGTCTGCCCCTTGAAGTAGAAGAGATGTTGCCATATGGATTATTGGTGAAGCCACGTGGGTTGAGATCATAAGCAGTTGCAGATGAATGCCTTCCTATTGAACTTGATGGCATGGTATCTGGCGTTGGATCTGCCATTAATGATGTGAAATCATTACAGATCAGTTGTGTCGGGCTATCAACTTGATCAGTTTGATATGCAATGCCAAAGTGAGAGGAATATGAGAGACCACGAGTTGCACGAACCTCAATAAAAGTGGCATACATTTCAATAAGAGATTGTGAACTCCCCATATGAGCATCAATCATCATAGAAACATCATCATCATTTGAAAACTGAAATGATGTATACGTGAGCGGAAAAAGTTCAGTAGGAAATCTGTATTGAAGTGAAGATAGTCTTCTCTGGCATGCTACACGAATCTTTAACGAAGTTTTTGTGATTAACTCCTCAATTGTGATGTTTCTCTTCAAGGTTAAGGGGATATAATGATCTGACTCAAAAACAACCCCCTCTTCAGCTTCCTTAATTTCTCCATCATACAAAACAACAACAGAAAGACGGCTCATTTTCAGAGAATTTGAGAATTTAGAGTTTGGGAATTTGGGAATTTAAAAGCTTGTGAACTGAAGTTTGTTTTGAAAGTTTATAATATGTTGCATATAATAGTGTCTATAATCGGAGTACTATTCATATGAAGGCGCGTTCCCGGGGGCGCGCCTTCCATTATTTTGTCAGAGAATATGTTATCATTGCCCTATTATGTCACTCATGTCCCTCGGGGACACTAGATATATCAGTAAATCAGGTAAATTATAACCAAAATTTAACTTCTTTTGAAAGTTCAGCAAGTTAAGAATAACTTAAATTAAAACGTTATGTGAAGTTTGAATAAATTAGATAAAATGTTATGGATAAATTGAATAAATGTGAAGTGATAAGTTGATTGTGACATTGAAATTGTATGGAATGAGCATCGAGATGTTTTTACGAATAAATGTGAAGTCATAAGTTGATTTTAATGTATACGTTTTAATATATATGTTAATGATAAAATCATATGTATGGATAAATTTAATTCAATTTAAGTATTGTGAACTATAATTGGAATATAACTTTTAATTTTGAATACAATTGGAATATTAAGTTGAAATTTAATGTTAATTTTCGAATTCTATAATTTATATTTTAATTTTAAATTTCGAATAATATTATTTTTATTTTTATTTTAAATTTCGAATAATATAATTTATATTTTAAAAACATTTATCAAACATTTAATGTTAAATGTGAATAAAAAATAACATTAAAAATATGTATGTAACAACCATGAAACATTTAAATAACATAACCAAATTACATAAAATTCTGAAATATAACTATTTAAATAAAATTAAATACAACTGGATCACCGATGTCGTCTTCTCGAATGAGTTCCACATGGCGGTGGTTGTCTATTTCGTGGAGGATTTCTTCGTGGAACTTGTTCTTCAGTCTCCTCATCTTCACTATCATCATCAGCAGCATTTTCTTCATTTGGTGTAGATGACGCTGAAGGGGCTGAAGGGCCTGTATAAAATAACGACCCTGGAGGAGTGCTAGTAACAATCTCACCGCTCCCCGGGAACTGTGAAAACTGTGGAAACATTGGCATCGATGTCTGTGATCCAGATGGAGATTGAGGTGTCTGCGGAGAAGCACCACCAGCCAAATAAGATGCATATGAACCATATGTTGGATCATTAAACATAGTCGTATATGCACCTCCATATGGTGCGGGCTAGGCATGTAACCTGGCGGGCTAGGAATGTAACCCTGCGGGCTCGGAATGTAACCCTGCGGAGATGGCATATAAACTGGTGGGCTTGGCATATGAAGTGGAGGGCTGGGCATGTACCCCTGCGGCATCGACGGATAAGGATATTGTGGTTGGACTGATATAGAACCGGTAGCGCCTTCTCTCCGTCCATGCGTCGAGAGACGATGATATTGAGACGGTTGACGTCTTTCTCGGCGCCTAGGGATGTTAACCCCTCGTGCTTCCGCCGAAAGTAGAAACGGCTTCCCATTTTCATTAAACCAGTCTATATAGTTATCCGTAACCATATGATCAGTTTCAGCGTAATATTGTCGAGGGGCCAACAGTGTGTATCGGTTCTCCCAAAGCGCAATCCAATCTCTGTATCTCACCACCCAGTTAACATCTTTCTTTCCTCGTCTATATATGTTATGCACGTCGTCTAAATTCCTAGGTGCTCCAGGAATATATTGTGTACAACCATACTGACAGAGCACGCGATCAACTGGATGCCACTCAATAATAGCATAACATATAAGAGGTATAACCGATATCCATACCTCTAATGACCCACTAAGGTGGGGTGAGATGCAAGCTTTCACTTCATCGCTCGCATAAGGTATCCACTGAAACTGAAATATAAATATACAATTCAAATAAATAAAATATTCTAATTATATCTAGCATTTTAAATTAAAATATTAATAATTAAACAAATTTAAAAACATACCTCAGACCCAGCTTTCGTATCAATAAGTAAATGAATTTCCTCTAACCCAGTAGGTATACTTTTATGGTCCTTTCTTTTCATCGACCACCTATGAAATATAATATAAACTAAATATCACCATATTTAATTGAAAATATTTAAATCAAAATTTAGTTCGAAAATTACCTCAACAATAAGGGGAATACGTATGGTTCATTCACGATCGGGCATAAAAAAGGCATGCGGAACCACGCCCATGATTGTAGAAGCAGAAGACATCCACCGATAGCAGTTTTCTTATAATTCGTCGCCCGACACATTTCTCTAAAGATAAATGCCAAAATTGCAGCGCCCCAACTATATCTTCCAGCTTTATCAAAATCGATCAGATGCCGCAACCACATACAATGCAACTGGTTGCGTGATTTGTCGGGCATCAATATTCCTCCAATTATTCGTAGAATATATGCCCGAGCACATGCCTTTGCTTGATCCTTTGAAGCATTTTCATTTAAAACCTCAAAATTAGCTTTCAACCAAGATAAACCTATTCTACCTCCATTAAACTCTGGCGGAGCAACTCCAAGATAATCAATGCACATTGATTTCCAATCTTCATCTGCCATACCACACATCATATTTCCGTCGACGGGAAGTCCCAGATGCATAGAGACATCCTCCAATGTAATTGTGGCCTCTCCACATGGAAGGTGAAAAGTGTGTGTCTCGGACCTCCACCTCTCAATCAGTGCAGAAATTAGGACAGGTTCGAGTTTGCAACCGCCTATAATTGTTGCAATATACCTGAACCCGGCAGAAGCCAAATATGACAAAATATGTTCCGGTGTCGGTATATGTGGATTTTTAATAAAAGTCTCTAAAATACGATCATTATCCTAAATAATATATATTATAAAAAATAAAAATTAATATAAATTTATAATAACTTTAAAATAAAAATAAATTTAAATATTAACATTAATTATATAAAAAATATTACTATATCGCTAAAATGTCTGGAGATATGATCAATATCCAATCGCAACAGCATTTCGTTTTCCATTATAACTGTAGACAAAACAATATAATTAGCAAAAAAAATTAATAATTATAAATAAATAATAATTATATAAATATTATTTTAATAAAAAAATAATATTTACATAAATATATTAATATAAAATATAATAACTATTTAAAAAAATACTAACATAAAAATAAATTTCTTACCACTAATAATAAATTTAAAACTCAAATAGTTGGAGAATTTGAGTTATATAAGAGAGGAGAATATGATTTTGGTGTGAAGAATGAGGGAGGGTTGAGGGGGTTTATATAGGGGAGGAGGGGGTAGTTAGGGAAAACGGATGGGGGCATTTATGACATTTAATGGAAGGCGCGTCCCCGGGGATGTGCTTTCCACACGTGGCAGTCGAGTCAGTGAAGGCGCGTCCCCGGGGATGCGTTTTCCACATGTGGCATCCAACTCACAAAAAACACTGGGACGCACCTTTCGCCAGCTCAGCCGAAAGGATGTCACTTCAGAAAATATATATTAAACGATGATAAAAAGGTAAATATTCGTTAAAGGTGTGTCATTTTGGTCAAATAACCGTTGGGTCTCTCCCGAAATGGAGACCGTTGAAGGGATGCCGTTAAAGGCGGTTCTTTGGATTTAAACTGGATGCCCCTCTCTTTTTTTACGGGGGGAGAAAGAAAGAAAAGGATTGCTTTGATTCCTGAGAAAAGCTTATCTGGGAAACGTTTCTTTTGTGTTTTTTAAGGTCTGTTTAGTTTTAAAGGTGGCATCTTGGTGTCTCAAAATCGAAAGGCTGGCTGATTGGAATCGGTAACTCGCTCCAAGAAGACAGCTTTTTAATTTTTGTTTGGAGAAAAAAGAAATGGTTGAGTGAATCAGATCGTTATTTGGGATAGGAAGCTCTGATCTCGAAAGATATCACGAGATTTTTCTCGGTGTTTGGGGCTTTCCGTGAGAGTTCCAAAAACAAAAAAGCAAGGTCCAAGGATAAATCCATCTCCAAACAGGATATCGTTGTCCCTTGTCGGGTTTTATCCTTCTTTTTATTTTATTTTTTTCTCTTTTGCATCCTTAAACATTTCGCAGTCAAGGATTAAACAACCCCAAAGTCTTAAGATTTCAGGAACTTATGATGAAAATCTAGTTGAAAGCAAAAGAAGGAAAAAGAAAATCCATTTGTGTCCTCTTCGTTTCCAAACTATGAGTTAAGGAAGAGAGGGAGAGGGAGAGGGAGAGAGAGACACACACAAAACAAAAAAACCTTCATTTCCTTAGTTCTTGGTGGGTTTTGTAAATAAACTGATAACTTTGGTCTTAAATTGAGTTTTAGTACTATTGTTAAGTTGCTTGCGGTTTGAGGAAAGGAAGTTGCAAGGCTTGTGTGGCTATCTGAGGTTTCTGGGTAGCTGAGAAATATTGGGGGTGAAGTTTGAAAGGTGGCAATGTCCTGCAAGGATGGTAAACATGGGAGCTTGGATAATGGGAAATATGTAAGGTACACACCTGAGCAGGTTGAGGCCCTTGAAAGGCTTTATCGTGAATGCCCCGAGCCTAGTTTGATTCGTAGACAGCAGCTGATTAGGGAGTGCCCCATTGCTCTGTGCAATTTATTTGCTTCAATGGATTTGCATTCAGTGTTATTGATAATGATTCAAGAAACGATTAGAATCAACTACTGAGATGTGGGATTTTTAGTATTTATCTTGTTCTTGGTTGGTCAGAATTTTCGTTTCAGGTGGAATACCATTTTTAATATTTGATAATGCATGATTGCATGTTATCATGTATGTTTTAGATTTTTCAGATGTAGAGAGAAGCAGAGGAAAGAAGCATAACGCCTTCAAGCTGTGAATAGGAAGCTGACAGCAATGAACAAGTTTTTGATGGAGGAGAATTATAGGTTACAGAAGCAGGTGTCACAGCTGGTGTATGACAATGGTTGCTTTCGTCAACATACCCAGAATGTGAGAATTTATGCTTTTGGCTTCAGGGTTGTTGCTTCCAGTTGTAGTTCTTTTTTTTTAATATATTTTGTTTGAGTACAATGTTATAGATTGAAAAGAAGTAGAGAAGAATTCGAGAAAAAGATGATAGAATAAGAGAGAATTCAGAGAGAATAAAAGTTCATTCATTCATTTCATGCCTCTCTTTCCTTAGTACAGTGTATTATTCATTCACAATGTACCAAACAAGGAATGACAGCTTGCATTCCTTTCTAACGGTTGCAATCTTTGGTGCAGGTGTCAAGTAATTTTCCACTCTGTTGGGCTACTGCTTGTATCGACCCAAAACTTATCTCATCTGTCACCATTTCATCAGCAGGTAAAATCTCATCTTTTTTAATGATCACGTGTGCATCATATGTTCTCATTTCCCCCAATTCATCATTCAAAATCCCTAATCCATTCCCATCTTTTCCAATCCCTAACATTCCCCGAATTTCCCAATTCATTCTCTTCGTGATTTTCTCCTTCTTCTCACCCAACCATAACATACAGCAGGAAAATTAGAAATTTAACTGTTTGTCAATTCAACTAAATTGGAGCTAAATTGCATTTTTATGTACTTTCTATGAATTTTATTTACATGGATATTGAGAGAGAAGGGTTCAATTGTTCTATTGCAGATCCTAGCTGTGAATCGGCAGTGACGAGTGGTCAACACTGCATGACACAACAGAATCCTCCTGGAGATGCTAGTCATGCAGGGTTTGGTTCTTTCCTTCCATTGTGCTGTGACAACTTTGTTGTGTGTTTTATTTGCGTGTTATAACTGATGCTCGTATCTTCTTTTCCAGGCTGTTGTCCATTGCAGAAGAGACTTTAGCAGAGTTTCTTTCAAAGGCCACTGGAACTGCTATAGAGTGGGTCCAAATGCCTGGAATGAAGGTATACCGTGACCTTTCCCCCTAATATTTGATATTCAATTAGCTACCCTTTTGCCTTATAATGACAAATAATTTCAGTAGAACTTCTTTCCTAGTTCAAAATCACTAAAGCTTCTATAGGGCTTGTTGTATTCTTTAGAGTGGCTTTGGTGTGTCTGTTAGAATGTAATTTCTTGGGCAAAGTTTTTTGTGTTAGAATGTAATTGTTTCATTGAGCAGCGCTTGATTTTTAATCCATTCCCTGCATCTCTTTTTTTACTTGAACAGCCTGGTCAGTGGTCCGGATTCCATAGGAATCATTGCTATTTATCATGGTTGCCCTGGAGTGGCAGCACGTGCCTGTGGCCTTGTGGGTCTCGAACCTATACAGGTAAGTCTAATTCTCTTTGCAGCCTGCTACTACATCCTCTGCACATTGACCTTGGACTTTAAAATTTAAACATTTATGTTCCTTCCAGGTTGCAGAACTCCTTCATGGTTCCGCGATTGCCGAGCTGTGGATGTTCTAAATGTGCTGCCTACTGCCAATGGTGGAACCATTGAGCTGCTGTACATGCAGGTCAGGGATCACTACTCTGTTATGGTTGTTAGACTATTGGTTCTTTCTTATTTAACGATTACTTCACATTTTCTGATATAGCTCTATGCGCCAACGACATTGGCGCCTGCTTCCGACTTCTGGTAGTTGCGTTATACTTCTGTTCTAGAAGATGGAAGAGCCTTGTGGTACGTTGTTTAATAAGCTGTTTTATTTTGGATATTAGACTGAATGGCTCCAGTGCAATGCTTAGGTGGTTTTTTATTTAAATGCCTTTTACAATGCTTAGGTTTGTGAGAGATCTCTGAAAAATACTCAAAATGGCCCTAGCATGCCTCCAGTGCAGCATTTTGTGAGAGCAGAAATGTTTGCAAGTGGATGCCTTATTCGGCCTTCTGAAGGGGGTGGTTCAATCATACACATTGTTGATCATATGGATTTGGAGGTATACTACTCGTTTATGTAAATCTTCTTCAATGTGTTAAACTATATATATTGCCTTAATTTGGAATGCTTCTCATCAACCAGCCATGGAGTGTGCCAGAAGTATTGCATTCGCTTTATGAATCATCAACAGTGCTTGCTCAGAAAGTGACGATGGCAGTAAGACTGGTTTTCGAGTTAGCATTATGTTTTTTTGCCCTTCTCCTTTTCGTGTTATGAAAATCTGAAACTGTTTGGAGGAAGGCTTGTATATTCGGAATTAATATAGTTGTGGCTTTAGAAAAAGGGTGAAGATATTTTGTTGTTGGTTTGTTTCTGTAGTGAAACCCTATGTTTGGTCTCGAGGATTACGTCTCAACTATGAAGTACTGTTGGATGATTGAACATTTGCAAATATTAATCAATTTAGTAATCGGAAAGTTGGTTGTGAAGCCATGTATCAACTTGATAAGATGGATGGAAAAACGACCCTTTCAAACTTTGAAACGACTCTCCATCTGTTGATTGTCTCATAAAGTCGGTCCAAATGAAACTAGAAATTACTAGGATTCGAAAATAGTAAAGAGTCGTTTATTGATATATATGGTTTTATTACATGAAAATGAGATAAAAACAATATTACTTGCTAGAAACAACCCTTTGTTAAAGCTTAAGCTTTGCTCAAAGAAAAACCCTAAAGCATTTGAGGCCAAACCCAAAAAACTTTATAAAGTGAGTGAAGAGTTTGGTCCATAATAAAACTTGAAAAATGAAGGCTCAAAAGGGATGGAAAAGAATAGTTTAATAAATACATTAGGTAAAGTGGTAAATTCCAGTCGAGATATTCATCCACTAAAATTAGGTGTATAATATAGGTTGATTGAGAAACCGGGAGGGAAACCAAAAAATAATAAAAACATTATGAAAGGGTTGGGCTAATAATTTGTCATATCATCAGTTTGAAACTTTGAGATTATTGATATCCCTAGTAATTGCTGGGATGCAACTAGAGCTCCTAGCGATGCCACCATTCTTCTGAGCTCCTGATCTATCCCTAGGGCTAATTGATTTGGCTCTATTACTCTTCCTCAAAATCTCCCTCATGGCTTCAGCTGTCAAGAGAGCTGGATAAGCCCTCCCAAACTTGTTAAACCTTGCACATGTATTCATATGTGCACTCAAAGCTTCCTCTATCTTGCCTCCGTTTTTCTCCATTCCTTCTTTCACCGCCTCTGCACACAGCCCGCATATCCATTTCCCCAAGAACTTGTTGCGCACTCGCTCGATGTACTCTGGGGTGCACTCTTCGCTCATCCCACAACACTCGCACTTGGCATCTTCGACTTCGGATATAGGCGGAAGCTGGTTCTCGTCCGTCACGGTGGTTTCTTTGTAATTATCGAGCACTTCCTTGCTCAGTTGGAAAGTGATATCCGAAACGGTCCTGTGGATGCTGTCGTTGGACAGTTTGGGTGGCTTGGGGAAGTTGTTCCTCCTCGCGTAAGTGCTAGTAATAGCCTCTCCATGTGGTGCCATTTTAAAAGAGAACCAACGCGTAGATATTGGGAAACTTCGTATGAAACAACCAAGTTGAAGAACTAAGATTGAAGCTTTAATGGAAGTGAAATAACTTTGTACAACTAAAATGGTGGTTGATAAAGAGTTAAGTGCATGAAGCTAGGTTATTTATAGAATGTGGGAACCCTTTCTTTTTCCTACTTAACAAGTGAAACTTATGTGTGGATCCTGTAGACTCACATGTCGACTATCAGCAGGAGCCAGTTTCGGCTTAGAAATATGCTAGACTTTTCAAGAAATGCCAACTTGCTTTCAACTTTTTGGGTTTAAAGCTAACTGTTTTCCTTAACCTAGAGAGAGGATCCATCACTGTCGTGTCATGGAAAAGTTTGTATATATATTTTTTTCCAGTGTTCATCTTCACCACTACTGTTCCATTTGGGGCAGTTGAGTCGGGATCATCATGATGCATTTAATATGAATTGTTTATGTCCTTTTAGTTTGTTGAAGAAAGAAAAAGAAAACCGTAGCTACCCGTATATGCATCTTTTAGTCCAACGACCTCTACCATTTGGGGATAACCCGAGAGCTTCACGAGAGAAGTAAGCTAAAATAAGGGGTGAGGGTGCAATGAATATAACATAAACTATTACTATATAATATAAAACGCTGAAAGTTTAAATATGATAATAATTTGAGAAATAATCAATTTCGAATATGCTTCTTTCTCATTAATATCCACACGAGCGACAAAGACGCTAAGAGATAAAGAAATGTTGTTGAAGTTTGTTTTTTGTTAAGAAAAATTAAAGTAACATGATAAAGTAATTCACATTTATCTTGCAAAGGAGTTTTTGAAATTAGTTATACCTTTAGACTTGTGGGTTTGAATGGAGTTTTGGTAGAATGGGTTTTGAAGGTCGAAAGCTTTGCAGGGTTGTAGATGAGCAGCCACATGTGAATATGACAGTGAAATGACACGAAATTAGTTATCATGAAAACAACTGTTTTTATTAGGGTTTTGGCATATCGATCGGCCACCCTCATTTGGTTATCTTGATGAAGTTTCTAGAATTCAAACTCCACCATTTTTGTCGAGCATCGTGTTTCTTACTTTCCCTAAGCCATTTGCAAACTATGTCAGTATTAGCCACTGTGCATCTGCAAGTTACAATGTTAGAGATAATCAAATACCTTCTTATAAGTATTTGAATTTAAAATTGAAATTAAAAAAAAATGAATCTGAAATGATGTACATTCGATATCAATTTAGTTTAAATCTGACTAAATTTAAAATATACTTATATGTAAAATAATATTACTCTTAATTTAAAATTTTAAAAACTTTAGATTTATTTTAATTTTAAATCTTGCAGTAATTATATTTAGCTATTGTGCATTGATCACGTTCTTCGTAGGCGTCTGGCTGCTATCCAGGTTTGGAATGAATTGATTATGCATTCTAAACTTGAGTCGTTCTTGGCCGTCGATATTTCGGACTGGATTGCGACCAATTTGCATGGACCCTCCGCCTTTGCTAAGAACTCTACCAACTGGGAGCTTATATTTGCTGCAATTCTTTGGAATCTCTGGATTACTCGCAATGCAAAGGTCTTTGATACGCCTATGGATGGGAATGGGACAGTGATTGAGCGTAGTTGTCGACTTGTCCAGATGACTCTCCAAGCTCGTGAGGAAGGAAACTAGGTTTCGATTAGTGCTCCCGCAATGCCTCGTGGTTCTTCTCATTGGGTGCCTCCACCTACACAGTGGATAAAACTAAATAATGATGCTGCCTGAGAAAGGAAGATGGTTGTGCTCGTTATGGTGGTGTAGCTCGCGATAACTCCGGTACGTGAAAATTCGGTTTTTCAAAATTCATTGGAGTTTGCTCTGTGATTGATGCGGAACTCTGAGGGGGGGCATATGTTGGCCTTCATTTTGCATGGATGCGGGATATCGTAAAATTATTCTTGAACTCCATAGCTTGGATGCTCTGCGGATTCTTAGAGTGAATTATACACACTCACTTGGGTGACATATGAATGAGTTGGGGAGATGTAACTGGAGTGTTCAAGTCCATCATGTTTTGCGTAGCGGAAACAAAGTGGCAGGTGCATTGGCGAAGTCTGTATCCTTTGATAATTTGGAACACGTTCTTCTTCGTCCCCACCAGCTTCTATAGCTAGTATCTTGCATGAAAATAGCTTGGTTGTCATGGCCGATGGTTAATTCTTGTTTGGCTGTTCAAGCTATGCTTGTTTTATCTTTGATTGTTGTTTTTTTATTAGTACACATACTCTTTTACTCCAACTAGGTTTAGGGAGGCTTTTGAGGCATATGTTAATATTTTGATGTATGGTTTTCTCGTTAATGAAATCATACTTTCCACCAAAAAAAAAGTATATTTAATTCTAAAACTAACAATTAGATTTGTTTTTATGAGCGGTAGCTTAGGTGTTCCATATTCCCCTAGGTTCGAGTATAAAAAATGTCACTAGTGACATGTGTCATCATCTGATTAGAAGATGAAATTTATTAAATTAAGAAAAATTAAGATCAAATTGATAGAATCTATAATAATAAGAATTAAATATGTAATTATATCAATTTCATTAACTATCATGCCAACTCCTCCGTCACATATTAACGATGATGGCTTGATTGATATAATTTAAATAGTTAAGAATGATTGGATTGAAAAATAAAATAAAATATAAGTGCTCAAATTAAAAAATTTCATAATTAAGTGATCATTGGTATCACCATTTATTATATTACTAGACATTAAATGTTATTAAAATATTAATATTTTAAGACAAATTATTATCTTTAAGTTATATTTTGGGTTGGCTTTTAATTTCTAAAAATTGTATTTGGCTTTTTTTTAGGATTCGAAACTTTTTACAATTATTTTAGTTTAGATTTGGATAATAATAGGTACATTAATTTTGTTTGGATTTATGTTAATATGTTTTGATTTAGGTTTAGGGATAAATATTTTATAATATGATTTTAGATTAATTCTAGAACATTAATATTGAGATTTTTAATTTTAAAAAATTAAGATACAAATTCTAATAATAAAAATAAAAATTATTCAAAAGCCCATGTACTAATATAATGGCGTAATACCAAAAATAGCCTCCAATGTTTATTGTAATGGTCATTTTGGCTCCTATTCGATTTGTGTCAACCATTAGATTTTCAAGTTAATTCGGGGCGTTCTCAATTCGGATCAATCGTTGTCGCTCTTTGTCTCGATAACTTTTGGTGCTACTTTTTATTAGTTATAATTCAAGAATTTTATGTGAATATATATATATATATATATATATATTGTCACATTCCAAATTCAAAGCTAAAAGTTTTAGTTTAAATTAATCGAATCAATAAATCTTTAAAATCAATAATTTTATGTGAATATGTATACACAGACGAAATTCAGAGTTAGAAGTTATTGCATCAGATATAGAGATGATCTTTTAACCAAGAAAAGATTATATTGAATCATTAAACTATCACTAGAAATGGTGGTTAACTAATAATAAAATATAAAATGAGAACAAAACATACAACATTTTTACTATTTATCAATGCTAAAAAGAGATAATAATAATAATAATAATAATAATAATAATAATAATAATAATAAATGAATAAATAAATTATCCATTCACTTAGATTCAATTATCGAGTTAAAATTGGGTTGAAATTTCGTTCGGATTGGATATGTGTAAACTAAATACGGGTTGCTTTCGATTCAGATTACTTTTGGTTCGGGTTGCTTTTTGTTCAGGTTGCTTTTGGTTTGAGTTGCTTTCGG